TACTGTACACAGACAAACATAGACATGCATAGACAAACATGGACACACATCAAACCCATGTGTTTTAAAAGTGGCCATTAGGCTAATTAGCAGGTCATGTATGTGTTCATATCTGTGTGATGGGCTACAGCAGCACAGTCAGAGCCTTGTAAGTTAAGCTCCACTCAGGGAACCATTGACTTGTTGACTTGTCCCTCTACATCAACAAAGTGGTCCGCAGTGGGTTTGTAGTCGTGAGAAGAGAGTGGAAGAGCAGAGTGACCAAGGAGCTGCCCTCAACTGAAAAATGACCATAATAACTTCCATACAAAAGCATTTAAGAGCTAAAAGGTCACAGGTCCACTAAAACATGATCACAATGTACTTTACTTTCAGCTTTCATTTTTAAAGGTATCCATAGCAACTGTTTGCCTCCCCACCTACAGTGATTTGGCATAGATGCCCTTCTTTACCTTTGAGGTGATGACCAGCAAAACTCTACAAAAGCATTTGCATCTGGCTCTTTGTTACTGGATTGAGGCTTATCACAGGCCTATTTGTATATGTATATTATTCTATGCAAAGTTTGTTTAGAATTTTAGTATTAGTTTGAGTTAACTTTGTTGCCACAGGTATGAGAATTATAGGTGAGCAGATCAAAGACTGGCTTTTATTATTCTTTATTATTATTATTGTTGTTGTTGTTGTTGTTTTAAATCCTCTTTTTGATGACAGACTGGTTTGGGCAGGTGGGAGTGAGTCTTTCATATATCACTGAGTAGATGATAATGTAAAAGTACAATGGCACAATGCTTGAATGTTGAGTTTATATCTCTTTCTATAACTGTACATGTTTTGAATGACCAGCAGCTTTATCCATGTGTTCTGTCTCTCTCTGTGCTGTCTGTCACTGATGCTTCTCTCTTTATAAGCTGCTGTTGACAGAGCGTGTGATGAAGGGGCCAGGGAGCTGTATAGTCTGAAGGTCAAAGCTCCCAATACTTCATAACTATATTATACCAACCACTCTTTTAGTGTAGTTTTGGGAGGCTCATATTAGAATAACAATGCAAACAAATAAATTAATTCTGTGAATGGGACTAGACATAATTTTCACAAGACTGGATGACAAGACAAGATGAGATTTTGACATCATTTATAATAATAACAAACAATTTTGGCCTCACAGTTTTTTATTAATTGTATTTAAGATGTCTCTGAAACACTGCTTTTCATAACTATGGCTTCTCAAGAGGTGTGACTCAGGTGCCCGTGGCAAATAGAAACACATTAAAAAAATCTCACGAGATCATTTTACCCATGTATGCATAATTTTGTGGCAATGTTATTTGCAACAAGCATATGTTCATGTCCCAGGTACAAGTAAAACAATTTTGCACATAAAGTAGATCATGGTTAACTGTAATAGAAAGGGCCAAATATCAAAAAAGAGTTCAGGGAGAGATGAGGCATATTCATTTGTCTGAGTTTGGGGCAGTTGATTAAGTCCAAGGACACAGTTTAGAGCATACTTCGTAATAGTCTTTGTAATGTTTGTATTTCCTCTTCCACTTTAAATCTGTATTTTTCGTTGTCCGGTGTTTCTGATATTAGAGAAATCTGATCAAACCCCTTTTTCTAATGTATTAAAATTGTATCTCTACTGCCCAGAACTTGTTTTAGCCAAAAGTACAATTATGTTGAATATTTGATCGCAGAACGTCACTTAAAATATTTTGAAGCTACATTTAGCAGAGACCAGAAAATGGCTTGATCGCTTAAACACTGACAAAAGTATACCTGTGATTTAATTTCAGTCTAGTTAGAGGTCTGATCTTGGTTAAACAGGACAAATGTATTCCCAGATCTGGAAAAATATTCTCGGCCCACTGTTGGCTCTACACAAGTTTATGTCAGTTTGTAAATTTGTGAGCCACTGCATCCTACCATCTGTGTGCATGTAAAAGCAGGGTGCGTTTTTGGCTGTACCTGTGCGTCTGTCCTCTTTGATGGCTGGGTGTCGCGCATTGGGCGTGTGTGTTGGAGTGTGTGCTTTCCACGCGGCTGTAAATCTCCGCTCTGACATGTTGCTTCAGGGGGAAACAGCAGGTTTGGGACACCCTGATGACCTTCACAGATGCTCCATGACCCTGCCCACGGGACGCCTACTCCACCTATTAATTTATTCATTTTCCACTGCTCAACACACTCGCAGGGCAGTGTGATTGTTTCCGAAAGCCCACGTCCCAGGAGACCAGCTGAAGTTTACCTAAGCAGCTCTGTCTCCTCTCTCAGTCCTGGGCCAGTCTCTTTTCCTTGTCACTGTTGTATTAATGATTAAGGACATGGTTTATATTGTATAATAGTGTTTTAACATATATCTAACACTACAGCCAATGCACTGTACTTCAAACAGTGAGTGTTGCATAACTTGATGTAAGACAAGCAGGTAACGCCACCAGGCCAAGTTACCAGTAAGTTCTGTGGAGAGCAGAACTTGCTCATAGTCATAAGGCATGTTTTTCAAGATATTTTGAGCAATAACCTGAATAGATGCTAGACTGATACTGAATGCCATACTATGCAACATTCCAGGCAAAATCCCCTAGGAGAGGAGGCGTTATTGACTCCCCACCAGAAAAGTTACATAGTCCACCTTTAACTTATTTATAACTCACATTAACTACTAAGTGAGCTTTGAACAAAGCGGGCCTGTTGTGAGCAGTATCTCAGCTTGACAGTGACGCTTTAGTCATCATGCACATTGCCTCTTTGTCTTTGTCATTACAAATTCAGTGTATTTATAATGAGTGACTTACATGCAGCATCGTGCTGTTTCTGACTTTAAAACACACATACAGCTCAGTGTCCTCCCTTCCTGTAGACAGGTGGTCCACGGGTTCACAACTTAATTCAGATTCATCTGTGCTGTGTTTTGTGTGTGCCATGCTGTAGCTAATCAACATGATTGGGCTCTCCCTACATGCTGAATAATGAAGTCTTTCTGTTCGGTTCAGTCAAATTTGGTTAACTAACTTATTTGGGACGAAGGTATATGCATGTGCATGCATGATGTGATCACATTATTCCAACTCTCTCATGAAATAGCACTGATTCATCCCACACTCATTTGTATTACATAAAGGAGCCCTGTGCAGTCTGTGGAAAGAACACAATGGACCTTATGAGTCAAACTGCCAAACCTTCTCACTTCTCAAATATATTGAACACAATGACCTAAATATGGGTACATTAGTTATTGGAGATGTTGTATTAAGGTTCTATTAGATACAGTATATTTGGTAAAGAAGAATGATCTTATAATAGGTCGAGAGGCTGACCATGGGAGTATTGGAGAAGAGGGGGCAGTGCTGGCAGAGAAGCCTGCGGCTACATAAAGAAGAGTGTTTGATGAAGGTCCTACAGGAGCAGAATGAGCTAACGTGATTTCATACTCGTGTTTTCCCAGCATGCCTTTGAGCTGTGTGTGTGTTCTATGTGTCACGGGTCCCTCATCAGGCCCTTATTAACTCCACTAAGTGACCTTTATCCAGGCGTTGATGAGTATATGTAGGGTCAGAGCCAACTCTCTCCTCCCTCTTTCACCTTTTTGTTTTTTGTCACCAGCCTTAGACCTGAGCTGTCTCCTCCTAGTGGTCTGTCATGTGCATTTACTCTCCAGTGGCCCCTATAGAAAACATGCATAGCCAGATTTGGATCACACACATTGCTGGCGATATACATTCTTTAATCTGAGCTTAAGGCACTCATGTCTGACAGGATTTGACTAATTATCCATGTTTTTAAAGCCATTCCTAGTCACAGCTTGTACTATCAGCACAATCAGCTGGAAGGGGCTTGCTGTTTTACTGGCCTTCATGCTTGAAACAAAGTCCAAAGTCTTCAGATTCCAGGAACATTTTGGGCGTAAGACAGCTAACATAATATACTGTCGCATTCGATCTATCTCCCACTGTAAAGTACAAAGATGTCAAACTTCTTTATTAAATCTGCTTTTGTGTCTACAGTAATTAGATTCTGGGTGGGTTTGATGGCATTTGTCAGTAAGGCTTGAGGAGGTGGGGTGTCAGACTGTAGATTCACATTGTTCATTATATGCTATCCTTAAAGCGACCTTTGTTTTACTTTTAAGGTGTCTCTCTAAAATGGATTGCTTTAATTACATCACAAAAACATTTTCTGTTTTTGTAAAAATGTTCAAGTGATTCAATGGAATGCTCTGTCAAAATCAATTTAAATAGTACTCGGTTGCAGAGAGTTTTTAAGAGAAAAACTTGGTTGTTTTATGTTGTTCGTCTCTTTTGTTGTGAATACAAACAGACTAATAAAATAAAAGAAACTCCACATGCAATGTCAGAATGTTTTACCATGCTGTTTCACTTACCACTGAAATACTGTGTACTCCAGTTTAGTCTTTGGTATATCTAGTTTTTGAGTAATTAGTTCAACCTCAGGAGTATTATCATAACATATAAAATTAGGTCTGTAGTTTGTTATCTTGTCTTGAGTATGAAACCACATTTTTGTTTACCTTTTCACTGCATACCTCCTGTGTGTAACATCAACATATCCATTTCGGTTTATACAGTACAAGTTCTCATAAGAGTCCATTTCTTTAATGACAATAACTTCATAAATGTTTAACTGTGTTTACCTGTGTCTGTTCCAGCCCTGTTAAAGCCCAGAGTTCAGCCCCAGTTCTGCACCCACCCACACAGTCACAGAGCCATCCGAGAAGCTGCACAATTTGGCACCTCCTCATTGGCTTCATTCATCAGCCCTTCAGGTACGGCCTCTTCAAGGAAATACGAGATGTTTAAAGACTGTCCCGAAGTTTGACATGAGACAAACTTTGGACAATATGCTCTCATGTTTTTATAAACAATTTTACAACATAATATAATTTAAAAAACTGCACATCCCAAACAAACAATGTAGAAAAATTCAAATATATTTATTCATTTACTTTTTTGGAAAAATATTACAAAAGAATTCCTCGGTTAACTGATTGTAAAGTACTGTAGTTAAATTTGCTCGCTTACTGCTAGTGTAAATTCAGCTGCTATGTATCATTATAAGATTTACATTTCGTACCAAATACATGAAAAACAACTAAACAAACACCATTTATAGAGTCTCTGCCTCTTTAACCCCCTTGAAGCAAAAAGATTCAAGTCTCATCACTGGTCCATGATAGTGCCAAACAAAGTCAGTGGAAATACCATCTAGTCCATACTTTGCTGGTCAATCTCCTTTCCGTTGAATAAAAAATTAAAATTGAAACATTGAAAAAAGCCCCGATCTACCAAGCTAGTGTTTATCCAAATTTTCTACTATATTCATTACACTTTGTACATTATGAAACTTGGAGTGAACTGGGGTATTTATTTTAGGGAAAGTCATGCCAAGTCATTCAGCGTAATGTAGCGTGTGTGTATGGAAATCCCCTTATTAGTAATCATATGAATCATGATATTTTCTTTCTATTAATATACTTCTAATTGAGTTATTACCACATTGGGAACTTGGATGTATAAGATGTATGACTATGCAGCAGGCTGGTATGCTATTGTAAGTAAAAGCTATGTGGATTTGTTGAGATGGAGAATCCTCATTGGAACACAGTGTGGTAGGTGGGACACTGGTGAGACTTCATGTACTTGATGGCAAACTTGAGTTCCTTGCTTTTCTTGTCCCACTTGTGGATGGACATGACCAGGAGTTGCTGGTCCACCTTGCGACCCATGATGAGGAAGTTTGACCCGAGGCTGTCGAGCTGTGAGCAGGGGCAGTTGGCGCCATTTTTGATGTACAGGGTCAGTTTCTTCAGGTCCTTCTTTCTCAGAGCTCCCTGCTTCAAGACTTTCTTCTTCTTCTGAGCCGCTATCAGCTTCTTATCTCCTTTCTCTTTTTTCACCTCCTTGATTTTCATCTTGAGAGCTGGGGGAGAGAAGATGTGACAGGTTAGCTACAAAAAGCACTGAAAATCTATTGGTGCTTTCTGATTCCACAGTACTCTCATATTCATACTGTAGTTCCCTGAAAGATGAAAAATTAAATTAAAACTAAATATTATATCTTTTTAATGGGAAAAGTCCTCAAAATGTCACCGCAGTAACAGGAAGCTTAAACCCATGAATGGGCCATTTTTCTCTTTTAATTAAATGTCATTTTCTGAAACATTGAACCCGATCATTTATATTGATGACTAGACACTTGGGCTTGATATATTCCAATGAAGATCTGCAATTGTAATTTTATTTGCCCTCAGCTTCTTTTAATAGGGCTATAGAGTGTTATGAAGTCATCTGAAACCCAGTAATATCAGTCTTAAAAACCACCATACTTACATAATCTTTGTAACAATTTAATGACGTTGTATTTCTTTGAGAATTACGTAGACATAGTCCCGCCAATACAAAACTCCACCTGTTCCTCCTCTGTTTAAATAAACCCAAATATCAGACACACTCAACTCCCTTCCACATTACTTTGAGCTTAATATGTGTTTTTTTTCTCATACCGCTATCTCATCTTTTATCAAACCGCCAAGGCACTGACTATCTCCTGTTGAGTCCTCGGTTTACATATTCATACTTTTACATGCCAGGGATCACAGTGGAGGTGCCAGCTCTTAAGAGAGGAATTCTCAGGGTGAACATTTTGACAGGTGAGATTAATCATGGAGCCGGCAGACGCACAGGGCTGGTGTGAGGCATCGCTCTACCCCGGCCTGCTGGAGGATAGCCATTTCCCCTCTCACCCGCCCGTCTGCACTGCATAAACATACCCAGGTACACTATACTGCTAGTACTTTAGGGGTGTGGATAGTTCTGTTACCATAATTACTGTACCATCCATATGAATCATTATTTTTGGAGTCTTTCACTTAATTTATTATATTTTTATTTGCTCTAGAGAGAAGTTTTTGAACTGCAGGAGGTCCAGTAGTACTTCTCAGACTAACTAAAGTGTTACAATTTGTGCTACTGATTTATAGTAGGACAAGTTTTATTTATTGCATGGTCCGTTTCGAAAAGGGCTTTCCAGGATTATCATTCATTAGGGTTATTGTACTAGTAGCACATGGTAGTAACACTGCACTTCAGAAGGTGTTATCTTTACATAGGTCTAACAGTGTACTATTACTCAAGGTTTTTAGATCGTACAAACAAGTTCAAGTTAATTATTACATAAAAAAAATTTGCTTTTCTCTATAAACTTGTCTCTCTGAATGATGGATTATATTGTTTTTGCTCAGTAAAGTGGGTAGAAGTACATGTTTGCAGTATGGGTTGAAACAGTAATAGTAGTAGAAGTGAACTGAGTAACTCTACAAGGTCTGGGATTACTGTATAATAATAGTAGTTATGGCACAAGTATGTACGGTAAGTGAGAAAATTTTTGTTTGGGGTTCCATCACCTGCTTGTTTCTATTGATGTCATTACTCTGCCTGGAATATTCCACAGTATGACATTAAACAGCTCTACCTCACATTTATTCACTTACAGATGGTTTTATAGCTCATAAATACTTATAAAAACAGGCATTCTAACTGTGAACAGGGTTGCCTCTCCACAGATCTGACCTGTAACTTGGTGTGGGTTGGTCTCCATGAAGAGAGAAAGGTTAGTTACACAATGCATCTTTAATTAACATTACAGTTGTACATATTTTGAAACTGTCTCCTCTGTTTCATGTGAGCTGATAGTGTTGAATTAAGCGTGTTTTGAACTACCCCTCACCCATATCCAACATCACATCCAATTACTCTTGTATATATTTACTGCATTGCGTGCTGGCTCGCGTATTTATGTGAATGAGCGTATTCATATAGGTGTGTGTTTGACCAGAGATAGGGAGGATAAAATGTCCAACTCCACCTGCCCCCCACCTGCTGCGTTCTGCTGGCCCACCCATACTCAATCATATGCAGTCACAAGAGCTGCCCAGGGCCCCACTGTGAAGCCTGGCCAGTGTCCCTGTGACAAGCTCTGCCAAAGTCTTTTTTTTCCTTGAACTGGTTTCTTGTATGTTTGTAAGATCTGAGGGCTAGACATAGAAAGCTTAAAAATGCACTGTGTAACTTCTAAGATGGAGGGTCCGCTACTTGCTCGTCTCCATGGAGATATTATTTCTTACTATTCCACAGTAGGGCATTAAACATATCTCCCTTGTATTTGTTCAACTAGGTGTGCTATATAGTTCAAAAATACCTTAAAAAATGTATTCTTACTATGTTCAGGCTTGCTTCTCCATAGATTTGACCATTAACTTGTGTCTATTGTGATTATCAGGTTCATTTCAATACTGTGCAACAATCAAGGCAAAACTATAATATCTAAATGGAGACAAGCAGGTGATGGACCCTCCACTAGAAAAGTTTCACAGTGCACTTTTAATCTAAAAAGTTTGAGCGCTATGTTGAAAAGTACCACTGCTTCATCCAAGTTACAACTGAGTTTAAGATTTCATTTGCCAATAATTCACATTTTTATTCTAACTTTAACACCTTTTGTAATTATTTTTCAGATTTTTACACAATATTATATTTATCCTAGGACCCTACTACTGCAATTCATCAACGCCACGCTGCTAAATGTCACCATAACAATGCAAGTGGAGACTACACAGATCAGATCAAAAGGATGTGTAACAAAATGCGACCTTCCCAAAGCTTTTAGGGCAAAAATGTCTGAAGATAGATGAGCCATGCATTCATAATGTGTTACTGTGGACTATAGTGTACCACTACAGCACATTCTTGCCTTGATCTCCAAAACCATACGTCATAGTTATCTCGACTTCACCGTTCAGTGTCTTGTCATGGGATTTTCATTCAATGCTGCTAAAGTGTCCAGTTGTGATCTGGTTCCATAGGTGTTCATGTTTCAACGTAATGAACACAAAGAATGTTCAGTTTGATAGCTGACCCAGACAAAACCTGCTATAATGAATCATGGAGGTGACCGGGCAGCTTTTATAAATTGTGTTTGTAAATTGCAGTGACAAAGTAGGGCAAACTATATCATACGCACTTGTTTGATAAATGGCACAAATAATGTCTAACTGTTTAATATGAAAGGTGGACACTTACCAAAGTCACTGGCGCAGTAATGCTCCATGATGTTGTCTGCTTTCATCTCATTATCGCATGGCGGGCAAACCTTGGACACTGGGGAGGGAAAGAAAATCAATTAGTACAAATTGCAGCATTATATTACAGTGCAGTTTTCCATACTAATGGTTACATATATGGTACAAAAACAATATCATTATGGGCTTGTGTAGCACTTTGAATCCCCCCTCCTCATGTCACAGTCTATTTGCTACTAGCTGGATATGTTGTCCAGCAGACGCACTGATGTTTGCCCTGCAATTACACTGTAGAAAATGTTTTAATTGTGGCTGTTGTATATTTTGTTGGTGCAGGCGTGTCCGTGCACTGCAGAAAGGTAAACGCTGGAGCAGACGCAGAGGGCCACTCTGAAAGTGATTAACTTCGGTGAGGGAGCCAACTCAGGAACCACAGGCAGGTTTGGTTAACTCTTAGCATTAAACTTATATTGATTTAGAACCAACCTTATTTGCACTTTTCAAATGTCAAGTGCGTACATACAATTATGCAAAAATGTCTTCATTGCCAGCAACATTATGGAAACTAGCTCTCTCAAAGCTTTTGGCATTACCAAGTTCCTATCCTGATGTAACCTAAGATGATGGTTGTTTTGCCAATATCCACAATCAGCTATGGTACTGCAACACCGTAATTAATACATTGTGCACTTATAACATTCATGTAATCATCCAGCAAACATTAAGCAATACATTCACTTTTAATTTATAACATGCTACTTTCTGCTATATATTCTAAAACACCCGCCTTTTTCAGTGAAACAGTAGTACCCACAAGAATACAGTCCCTCCAGGGTTCAAAGGTTATCAGCTAGTCCTGACCTCAGTGTCTGAGCAGATAATGCGAGGGGTCAAAGTTGAGCGTTTTTTTGGTGCCGGGGTCGTGGGGAGGTGAACCCCAGACCAGCACCCCTTTCAGTCTGTGTGCAGTGATACTGACCCATACAGAAATGGTTCAATGTTCCCAGGCTGTATAGTGGTAGACGTTCCCACAAATCTTTCAAAAAGTTGAAGCTTATGTTGCCAGTTTAGAATGTATTTTAGCCTGTTAATGCATCAAGATTTTAATTTTTGTTTACACTTCAGAGTGCTGCCATAGTCTTGCCAAATGTCTGCTGGATTTGAGCGCTTTGAAAGATTTCCTGAAAGTGTTGTGTCTTGCTGTGGCTGTGCAGTTATTCATTGGGCTTTCACGGTGGTGGTATGTGGGCATGGTGCCAGTCCCGCTCATGCCAGGCCAGTGCATGTGTCAAGAAAAGCAGCCCCTCTCTCAAACAGAGTTGAGTTTGGACAGAGCTGCACCGTTTGGCTCAGGGACCAATTAGGCGATGAGGGCCTTGATGCTCCTCGTCATGTTCTAATAAGAGCCACTGGGTCATGTCTTCTTTCCTGGACACTTTTCCGCTCAGCAAATATTTGGGCATTAGGTCATATGTATTCTTCCAAAACCTCAACGCAGTTTAGGAATTTTTATTAGTAGACTTTGTAATTTTATTGTCCAGATTGTGCAGTGGGTTTGCCCATGACTGCTATTTGCACGTCTTTGCTGTTCATACACTTGTTCTCTTTCTGATTGATTGCACACTACACATTGACTACAGTAATTGAACAGATTTCTTTTGAATCTGACCAGAGGAGGAGATGCTGTGAGTGTGGTGGTGAACTGGGAGGTGGTCTGTTGGAAAGGGCTGCTGTTAATCTTCAAATGGGATGCCAAAGTGGAAAGGATGTACGGCAAAAATCCAACATCGGAGCTGCACAGTTCCACTGAGTCAGACCGCAGAAGTCTTAAATTCTTTTATCCTTCATGAATTTTCTAATATTGATGTCACTTGCATGGTACCTTCAATTGAAATTTAATAAAAGTTAAGCTGAACCAGATAAGTGCTATAAAAGTTTGTGTAATGAAACTGTCCTTAACGTTTGGGATCAAACCTTGATGTAACCACAAATATGAGCCATGGCAATTTAGTTTAACTCTGAACAATGTGACACACTGATGATGTCACTCTAACACAGGGGACCAAAGCTGTGCAATTTGACATTAATGTCTGCCTGAGGTCCTGACATCTGTTTAAATGCGATGCACAAAAAGATGAGGAATCACCTAAACAGGTCCCAGACACATCCCTGAGGTCCGTAACACGGCCAGCTCCTGCATCTGTAAGAATCCACAGAGCAGAGAAAAGCCTCCTAAGGGCTTTGGCAGCTCTCTATGCACGCAGCATTGGATCACATTTTCCCTTTCATACAGCGGCCAGGCCACATGAGTGGCTCCCATTGTGCCCAGGACCTGACAGCGCAGCCCCTCTCCCTTGGCAAGGTTGTAACTTACACTGGTCACATCGGTGCGGACAGACAATATCTTTCACACCATGCAATTTTAACGACTTTCACTGGACAACAGCCATATTGTATCAGACAGTTGTGAAGGCATGCGGGGGTGCTCATGGTTCAGATGTATGCGGTGCTGTCATCACAAATTTTGACTTACCTGATGATTCACTCACAGAAAGTTACTTTAGTTGCAACATGGTTGTGTCCATTGCACAAACTTTACCGCAGATTAATCTGTTTTGGTATGCATTCTCCAAGGTCTTATAAGCCTAACAATCACCTCTTGATAATAATAAATGTTCTTCTAAAACCACATTTGACTCTGTAGTCTTTCCCTGTCACCTCTTAGCAGAGATTAGATCAGTGAATCTTTTCTTGTGTGACCGAGTGTGAGATAACTGTTCATCTCAGTGAGCATGTAAAAGAATGAGTTATGTTTCGAAAGCCAAAATGTCACATAGTTGACACAAAGCCTATGAAAACAGAGCAGACATTCTCTCTAATGGAGGAAGTTAGTGGATATATTAAAGTAACCTCAAACTATCTTTAGCTGAGATCCAGTGAAATATTTATTACTCATTTGATATAAAAAGCCCTGTTTAAAGATTCATAAGCTATTTGTCACCTTTTTCTGAACCACACAGCATACAATGAAGAACTTTTTGTGGACTTTTTGTTTGACAAAGAAATTAGCTTTAAATGATGATTAAATGATAAGCGCAATTGTATAGCACTTAGTCCAAGTTGCTATTGAAAGCCCAGGCAGACACTTCTCTCACAGGAAACAGCCTCTTTTCTCTCTCAAATATCTTTATTCTCCGTCAGACAACTGCACTCGAGCCAATCCTATTCTCCCCCTCTCTCTTGTTCTGTCATGTCGACTAATTAGCTGGAGCTCTGTAATTGGACTTCTTGCTAATTGGCCCGTCGGCTGCCAGACCCAACAATAGCAGCAGACACTCCAGTAACTGTCCCCTTGTTGCCGTCTATAGGCTCATCAAGTCCCCTTCGCCTGCTTAAGTGTTCATTCAGTGAACACTACTCCCTCCCCAAACACCCTCCATCTGTCTGCTAATTGTGCGACTTCATTTCTTTCTTAACTATGCTGACTTGCTTGAGTAGCATGTTGCAACAGGGCGCTCCCCGTTGGAACACTTGTTATATGGTGATTGATGATCTCCGCACTGAATCGCGCCGATAAAGTTGTTCACACATGTGCGTTTGCTTTACACTTGCAGATAACTTTAGCATAACAGTCGATTTATCTTAACTGTGCAACTGATCTTCTGCTGCCGGAGTCGTCCAGTCTCCTGGCTCATGCTTTGTGTCTGTCCTTCCCTCAGGCAGTAGTGGTAATGTGGGGGAATATTTTCAGTCTTTAAACTTCACTGGTCATTTTAGTGCTACTGCTGCACGGTGGCCAACTGTCAGAATTTTCCTATAATTGTCAAGTATTTATTTCATGTGTAATTTCATGTTCCTTGTTGGCGCTTTACTTATTTACTGTACTCAATTATTCATAATTTCTATTTGATGTTCCAGCATGCTGTGATTTATAATTATGTTTTAAGCTGGATGCCCTACCTGATATCACTCTATTTTGGATTTTGGTGTAATGGTTCAAATTGATTCAAGCTTATTGTGGAAATTTTTAAAACCCATTTCTTTTTATTTAAAACAAAACAATATAGACAATTCTAATGCAGTAAAGTACTCTTGAATTTTACTTGAATGACCATAAGGAAAATAGTTTTTCCAACAGGTTTGAAAGTTGTTAAGTGTTAATTTTTTCCTTCAGAGTGACCACAACAAATCACCTCCCTCTTGTATTTTCCTTGTATTCCTTTCAAATTTGACATAGATTTCTGTCCAAATTACCTTCTATAATCATGGTTTTGAATTGACATAGACTACACTGACATTTCACAATAGATTTGCTTAAAATAGATGACAGTGTAATTTTATCCTACCTGGTGGCTGCGTGGCGTGGTCCACTGAAAACTGCATGGGGATACAGAGGTCATTATCTATGGGGAACTTGTCACAGGTCAACATCTCAGGCCAGGGGAAGCCATAAGTCTCCATGACGGGCGCACAGCTGTTCCTCACCCCCTCACATAGGGACCTGCATGGATAGATGGGCCTGTCCAAGCACACTGGAGCAAACAGGGAGCAGAGAAAAACCTGTGTATCGGCATGGCAACGCTTTGCCAAAAGTGGTACCCAACTCCCAGCCTGCTGCTTCACCTCTGGCATGGTCTCATGGTCCAGCAGGTTAGGCAGTCTCATCTTCTTATAGCCCACGTTGTGACAGAGCCTCAAGTCCGCAGGTATGTCCACGCACTGGGGCTGTTTGGTGTAAAAGCGGCCGTTGTGGAAGTTGTCTGACTGCCAGCTGTAGTAGTCGTACTCATCTGCGGCCGAAGCGCTGAGGAAGAGGAGGGTGATGGAGAAGAATAGCGATCGTGCCAGGGCCAACCTGAAGGAGCACCCATAGGTCAATGCCCACCTGTGGTTCTTATGTCCCTTTGCCATGCTTTTTCTGTTCAGCTATTCTAAAAACAAGCTATATCCAAAAAAGTTTGAAGGGAAAGTGCAAAGAAGGTGTACAAGTTGTAATCCCTCTTGAAGTAGGAAAATGGAAAACTTTAGCCTCTTCTTTGCTTGGTGAGTTCACCCTTGGATGCCAACGTGTTTACTAAATATATCAATGTAGAATGATTAAAAGTCTCTTACAACATTTCTTTTCCAGTAACTTTAGCTGTGTTGCCTGTCTCTCCTGTGCTGTGTGTTCATCAGACTGTAGTCTAATGAGGAGGAGCACCTTGGCTTTAAGAGGCAGTGTCCATGCAGCCTTGTGTGTGTGCCTGCCCCCTACAGCAGCTCTTGGACCACTCACCTCCCTACTGGCCTCCCCAGGTCTCACTCACAGAGACTCCAGCCAATCACAGCACAGTGGGAGGGGTCAGACTCCTGTTTGCCCCTCATTCACAAGGTAAACTCCTCCCATACAGAAATAGACAGACATGTTGACTATGGGTATTCTTTTAACTTTGTTGAAATTTTACTTTTTTTTTCTGTCACCTACTGACTATAAATTATGTACATTTATCTGGGTTTGCAATGAGTTTGGTCTGCTATTTTTGGTTTGAGCCATCTGAACACCAAAATTACAGAAAAAAACATTAAATAAAATAAGTGATTATCATATATTTGAAGATTAATTTTAAATATTCCCTTCACTGATTTCTTCTTATATGTTCTGATTATTTTGCTTCAGATCAGCAACTTTTCTAGCATACAGTCTGTGCCATATTGATTTTTGCATGTGCCTATGTGTATACTATGAACCTGTGATCGAAAACATAACACTAGATTTATGTACAGACATGAGCACTTTTCACTGTAATGAGATGATCCCATTGAAAACTTGCATACACAGGATGGTGGATGCTTATGTCCAAGCTGTGTGGTTTATGCTAATGTGCACTAAGTGAATAGCCCCCTCCACTGATCAGGAACACAGACACACACAGCGCCTTCACCTCTGCAGCTAGAGGAATCACATTCATATTCAGACATGTTATGCTGAAATTATGCAGAGATGTAATGTGTATCTGGAAATGCTAGCTGTGAGTGATGGCTGAGTCCATGTCAAACCCTAGCTGGATAGAGTATTGGGAAAAGTTGAGGTCTGTGCCTGTTGATATTATTATTGTTAGCATCTGCCAGGACAAACAGAGGGCCAGCAGTGTATGTGTTTTTCAAACAGCTGGAGGCATTGAACGAACATCAGACATACTATTGTTCTTTTCCTGTAGCATAGAAGATAAAATTTCAGAAACAGCGGTATGTCTATAAAATCTAATTCAGTTTGGTCAAAAAGTGTTTTTTCATCAGGAATTAGGTGGAACAATAAAACTCCTCACATTTTTCTTCTCTGCACTATTGTTCAGAGAATCTTGACCACAGCTTTCATCTCGGTCATAGTTTATAGAATCTGTGAGTTTTATTTTTGGGTGAAGTTCAACTCATGATTTGGAAGGAGATATTGCTGACACTGGAGAATATTCAGCCATTATTTGACATACTGTTCTTTTTGATGATGCTGCAAAAATACAGTTTTAATGTAATACAGATTTGTCTAAAATGTTTTCATTATTGCTGTCTTTGATCAAGTCTTGGTTTACTGACAGACAGGAGCTGCTCTGCTAACCTTTGTACCAGAGCTAATCAATATTAGTCACAGCTAATAAGCAGTGGACCTTACTCCCCTGTAGGGCGGTCACAATCACACACCTCACTGTGCAGTGTACTGACTATCATGTGTATGCTGCTGTAGAGCTGACCTATTTTAGACACTAGTGTTTCCTCGGATACAGGCGCAGTGTACTGCCTTCAAGATCCCAACAAAAGTGTCTTTCATGGTAATCAATCAACAATGGTCGTCTGCTCTTGTCCTCTTCCCCCAAACTGGCCTCTGTGCCCATTGGCCAAACAATTCCATTTTACTCTCTCCTCACTTCTGATTGGCTCAGATGTATAAGATTAGGCCCAACTTGTATTGTCAGAGCCAGAGGTTTAGCATTGTTTGCATAGAGTAAGAGTGAAAAGGCTTGTGTGGATGAGCTAAGCAGCCAGTCATCCAAGACCACTCAAGAAGATTGGATTTAAACTAAAAATAAATAAGCTAATTTAGATTTACAATTAAAGATGTCCTCCTAAATCATTAACTTTTTTGATGAAAAACAAAAAACAAACATACACAGTGTACTGTATTTGTTGTAATTCTACAGCTTAATCTTTGCAGTCTGTTGATAAGCCCCGCCCCCTCGCCACACACATGCATTCACCTCTGAGCTTTACATTGCCACAATAGGGATTAGCTGCAGAACTGTCCAAATGAGTGAAGCATAAAGACCGGTGCCTCCCACAAGGAATCTCTGCTCCCTACCTCTTAAAGAAAATCTGCATTTTTTTTTTTTTTTATCTCAAGCTTAAAAATATTTACATTAGTTGTTTAATATTGTCTAATAATATTGCATTAATTTAAATAATAGTCACTCCCAGTATACTGTATTAACTGTACGGGAACTGTTGAGTAATTTGTCCTTTTGAACCGCTTGTTTGCAAACACTTGGGGTTTGACAGACCACTGGTTGGATAAGACCTGTAATCCCTCACACAAACTGAATAGTGTTTGTATGGTACTTACCCAACACGGCTACTTTGAGAGTCAAATAAATTCTTTGTACAAGGGATTTCTGGCCTGAGCCTTGGCCTAAACCCTGAAATCACGCAGGAAGAGTTTTTGTCAGTGTGGACTATTGCACACAGTTGCTAAAATGTGCTGCAATGATGTTGAAGACTTGTAACACCACATAGCCAGCCACTGCTAAACCCATAGATGGATGTCAAATTGGCCAGTGGTGGGATGTGCTGACAGCTGTTTGCTTTTGGCCCTGTGCACACAAATTCTTCACTACACCGGTGTATCTCTTACTTGAGTCAATTTCCAGTCCGCCATGTTGCTGCAGCCAGGGTTCACACAGTACGTTTAATCACAGACAATTTCTCATTCGCGACACCTCCCTGCAGCTTCCCCCAGTCTTTGTAAGGAAGAGCTTTTGACCACATCACAGTCATGGGCGCCAATGGGAAGAGACAGACAGGAGAAAGGATGCCCAAACTGAGGTGGACGCTATTGTTGCTCCTCCAAAAGCTATTGCGCTCTCTCTCTCATTCTATTCTCTCTCTCTCTCTCTCTCTCTCTCTCTCACTCTCTCTGTCTGTAACATCTGGCAAGTTTCCACTATAGGCCACTGGGTGATGTAAAGCTTTTTTCCTTTGACGTTGTTTCTTATAAGCAGAAAGCTCCAACAGGCTCCTATTGTAAAGTGGTTCAGATTTGCTACCACCATGTTAGAATTCACACAATTGCAATGTGTAAGTGTGAGCTGAAATGTTTCATAGACCAAGGAACGCAAGTGCAAACCTCAACCCTGTCACTCATTCATTCCTTATAAAGTCGCCTATTTTATGATCCAGTACATGTGAAGTAATTTCTGATATTTGACTGTAGATAATGGTCAAATATAATAATTTAATTTGTATTTTATTTGAATAGGCTATGTTCACATGACATCAAAACAGTCTAGTATTCCTATTTCTTTAAAGGGCCCATATTATACTATTTTCGGATTTATGTTTTAATGTTGTTTCCTCATCACAAACATAACTCAAGTTGTGTTTTGTTTCATTCACGCATGTTTAACACACAAGCCCTGCATATTTAGGTTGAGTTCTTCTCTAAAACTGAAAACACTGCACCTCTTCTACCTTGTGATCCAGGAAATGCTCCACTGTGTTTTTAAACTCCATGCACCTTCACTGGAATTATTTGGATCATTTCAGCCAATCACTGCTGAGCTAAAGGTAAAAAGTAGCTGTTAACTTGAAAACTGCCAGTTCATGACATCACAAGGTGGAACAGGGCATTTTGGGTTTTGGAAATATAGATAGACTAATAATAAAGGGTTGCTCAAACATATGTGAATGAAACAAAACACAACTTCAGGTATGTGTCAGTAGAAAGGACAAATAATAATAAAATTTGACAGTGGTGGGTCATAAGTTTGGTTGTTTCTACCTAAAATTGTGCATTTCTCATTCACTGGCAGAGAGAGTTAAGCTCCATCTGAAATTATGACATCATCCAATTTTAGAGCATGAACACAGCCTATTACTATATGTGATTTATATTACTGTCAGCGTATTCCTCCACTCATTATGTTCCTTATTACATTGGAAACCCATTTCATACTTTTATTTGACTGTTTTGTCTCTGTTCACATGGCCCCGCCCCCTGTCTCCCATAGCTGTCATGTGTGGGGTCATCTCTTTAAAGATCTCCCTCACCTCTGTTGAGAAATCCAGAGATAGTGGTTTAACAAACACAGTCTGCCTTCTTCCTATCTCCGGTACAGATCACCAGATAACATATTTGGCTAATGGCTGTTGCTGACCCAATAGCGCTAAACAGTTTGTGTCACAACTTGTAGATATTTGCTTTAATTTTCCCGTCTTCCATCTTAATCACACCTGGAATGTTGGTCTCCTTCCCATTTTTACAGGATTGATAAGAATCAATGTAATTAGCCAAATTGCCTCACTGTTAATTAGCATTCATTGAGTGTTTGTGTATTGGAGATACAATCGGGGAAATAGATATAATGCATTCTTTATGTAGTTGCTTTGTATGGTACTTGTAACAACAAAGAAGTTGTTCTGTTGTATCTGTGGCCAATTTTATGCCATTTACACCTGGAGACTAACTAAAGCATGTTCACATTCAGGGGTAAATGCTCTTTCAGTTACTGCATTGTTTATGGTAAATGTATTTTTATATCTCAAAGTTCCTTAGGCCATAACCTCAAATGCTCCTAATATTGCTCACATCAAATCAGTCTCAAATTTCACTCCTTAATCAAACTTTTGACAGTAATAGAATACATATTTATTTTTAACATGCTAAAAGCTAATTTATAACAGTGTAAAAAGCACATTTATTCCTCATGCTGTATGTGCATGTATTTCCACAGTTGGAAAAGTTTTAATTGAAACAGCCCTGAGGCACGAGGAGCTGCCGGTCGCCCACAGTGTGAGCCTGGAGAGGAGAGAGTGCTGCATAATGGCAGGAATGTGACATGTTGCATAAGACCATGTATCCTGAACGTAGCTTGCCCAGATAAATGAACCTAAGAACAAACTGCT